CTCAGATTCTTCCTGAACGCTTCCTCTGATATCTTCATGTCTCGTATCCTCATCAGCGCCTTGTTCTGGGAGTCGATGCTGGCGATCCTGTCGTTGACCGAGCTGACCTCCTCGTCCAGCTTGACGTTGTCCCTCTGGAGCTCTTCTCTCTGGTGCCTGTACGTCACCGCCTCCACCTGCAACCAAACGGGTCGGCGTCACAATGCTGCTGACTGAGCTCTCCACTACTGGCCATTGTGGTCAAGGTGGTCAATGGGGGTCGATGGGGTCGATGTGGTCAATGTGGGGCCATGGGGTCGATATGGCCAATGTTCTCAATTGAGGTCAATGTGGTCAATGGGGTCATTGGGTCGATATGGTCAATGTTGTCATGGGGGTCATGGAATCGATATGGTCAATGTGGTCAATTGAGGTTAATGTGGTCAATGGGAGTCCTTGGGGTCGATGTGGTCAATGTCATTAATGGGGTCGATGGGGCCTAATGTGGTCAATGGGGGTCGATGAAGTAGATGTGTTCAATGGGGTTGATTTGATCAATGGGGTCAATGGGGGTCGATTTGATAAATTGGGGTCGATAGGGTAGATGTGGTCAATGGGGTCAATGTACTCAATTGGGGTCGACTTGATCAATGGGGGTCGATAGGGTAGATGTGGTCAATGAGTTGATGTGATCAGTGGGGGTTGATTTGATCAATGGGGTGGTCAAAGGGGGTCGATTGGGTTTACTGTAGCCTACAAGGGGTCAATGTGACTGTGACTTGTAAAATTCAGACATCAATTTTTTCGGACCAAAATTTAGGAAACATGATATCGTGGCCTGGATTAATTTTGGACTCAAAGTTAAATTCGTGCTCAATCTGTGCATATATATATTATATGAAGACAATATATATGCCATCATGGCTTCTGACAAATGTATGCCAACATAGCTTCCGTTACATGAATGCAATCATGGCTTCCGCCAACTTGTAAGCCATCATGGCTTCTGCTAACATGTGTGACATCATACTTCTGTAAACATGTATGCCATCATGGCTTCCATCAACATTTATGTCATCATGGCTCCCACTAACATGCATGCCATCATGGCTTCCGCAACATGAATGTCATCATGGCGTCCAATAACATGTATGCCATCATGGCTTCCGCCAACATGTATGCCATCAT